AATTTTGTTGTAATTGCATAGTGATCTGGGAATCTGTTTTCCATAGCCTAAATTCCATTTTTCCAGTCAAATTTATTGAAATATCTCGAGATCGAATTTCATTGTAATTGCATATATATAGTGATCTGAGAATCTGTTTTCCATGGCTTAAATTCCATTTTTTCAGTCGAATTTATTGAAATATCTCAAGATCGAATTTCATTGTAATTGCATATAGTGATCTGAGAATCTGTTTTCCATGGCCTAAATTCAATTTTCCAGTCGAATTTCATTGTAATTGCATATAGTGATCTGAGAATCTGTTTTCCATGGCCTAAATTCAATTTTCCAGTCGAATTTCATTGTAATTGCATATAGTGATCTGAGAATCTGTTTTCCATGGCCTAAATTCAATTTTCCAGTCGAATTTCATTGTAATTGCACACACACACACACAGTGATCTGAGAATCTGTTTTCCATGGCCTAAATTCAATTCTTCCAGTCGAATTTATTGAAATATCTCAAAATTAATTTCGTTGTCGTCGCACAATGATCTCGGAATCTGTTTTCCGTGGCCTAAATTCAATTTTCCAGTCGACTTTATTGAAACGTCTCTGCTCCCACAATGATTCGCAACGTCGCTTTCCTGACTCCACCGACTGGGTAGATTGCACGAGACCGATTAATGCATTCAGACACGCTGGAAAATCCCCCGAGCAACACTAAATTATACAGATGTGTTCGATAATAACTGAGTGCAACGTTTGCAGCTTCGATCATTCAACATCGCACAAAAGATTCGTGGCTCGCGCTTCGTGTCCTCGGTGTACAGTAAATTCTCCCCAATTCGCGCTCGGATTGCGCACGAAAATGGACAATTCGGGAAGCGGAGATGAGAAATAATTCAGTCGGAAATAATTCATTTCGAAAATCCATTTCGAAGGATTTATTTCGATCATTCATTTCGATAATTCGATCACTTTCAATACGACAGAACATGGTCTCGCATTTAAATGCTTACAATAGCGAGGTTGCATCAAACTTCAAATCGAGGAACTGCGTCTTAAAGTAGAGGCTTCGAGCTTTAATTTAAAAAAAGAATCATCGCCCTACGATGATTTTTCGCGGAGTTATCTTCGCTCAAAGTTGACCAATATTTATCGAACACATTTTTCTCTGCTGTAATTCTTTCGATCATTATACATGTTGAGCGTCAATTAAGGAGGATTTACTGTACACATAATTTTCGGGCTAAATTTGCGAACCAAGTAATATACATTTAAGACAAGTAACACTCATCGAGACCGCAGTAAATAATTAAATAAGGAAACAGTGCATCATCCTGTTCGTAATCTGGAATTCCGAGGCTAATGCAATCTGATTTCCTCTTGCATCGATTTTAGTCGAATTACAGTGAATTACGTACAATTACCTAATAGGAACGAGGAAATGCCAATTGGATAAGTACTGTTCGATACTCTTTGGGGAAGTACTGAAATCGCGTCCGATAAATCAAGTATAAACAAAAAGGATTCCGCGTATTGTTACACACACGTGCGTGCATCATTTTTTACCTTTCATGTCGGGCAACATTTTCCGAAATTTTCTATTGGAAATATTCGATCACCGGATGTGTTATCGTAAAAAGTCTATTCTTCCACGTTCTAAAGGGAAAAGAGACAAATCTATTGCGAACGATTTCGATTCGATTTCGTTCAAGTTGCCAATTATAACTGGAGCATGAGTGGACAGAAAAGTTATCGATTTCACGCGAAACCAACTTGAATCATCGTTTCCCATTGGACCCGTGCACCATTCATTGATCCGCGCGGAGAAAGATCGGAAATCAAAGGCGAATGACGAAACCAGAACCATCGTTACGATCTTTCATGCGCTCGATTCGTGAGAACTCGCGGCGCAACTACCGCACATTAGCAACCTCGTTCCAAGGAAAAGTTCTCTGCGTGCATTATTGATGCGTTCGATTCATTTTTTCCTTCTTCTATTCCTTCTGAAGTGACACGATGCCGCGCGCGCGCGAAGTGCAGCAAGCGTTTCGATTCGCCTCCACGCTGATATCAATCGCGGCAACAACGTGATTTCTACGCCCCGCAAACCCCGCGCACGCGTTTGTTTCCTTTCGACCGCGAACGAGCATATTTTAAGCACAGATAGTTCCTTAAACTATCGGCTACATTATTGGAACCATGGGTTCGGATACAGTCTCTGAGAAAAGTCTCTCCGTAGACGCTTTCGTAACGATTTTCTCTGGCGAATGCTATTTTCTGGAACTGTTCGGTAACATTTTCATGGGCACGATATGAATGTTCAAAAAATTGGAATATATTGTGTATTGTATATTACATTACATATTACATATTATATATTATATATTATAATATTATAATAATATAATATATAATATAATATAATAATATATAATATATAATATGTAATGTAATATACAATATATAATATATAATATGTAATGTAATATACAATATATAATATATAATATGTAATGTAATATACAATATATAATATATAATATGTAATGTAATATACAATATATAATATATAATATGTAATGTAATATACAATATATAATATATAATATGTAATGTAATATACAATATATAATATATAATATGTAATGTAATATACAATATATAATATATAATATGTAATGTAATATACAATATATAATATATAATATGTAATGTAATATACAATATATAATATATAATATGTAATGTAATATACAATATATAATATATAATATGTAATGTAATATACAATATATAATATATAATATGTAATGTAATATACAATATATAATATATAATATGTAATGTAATATACAATATATAATATATAATATGTAATGTAATATACAATATATAATATATAATATGTAATGTAATATACAATATATAATATATAATATGTAATGTAATATACAATATATAATATATAATATGTAATGTAATATACAATATATAATATATAATATGTAATGTAATATACAATATATAATATATAATATGTAATGTAATATACAATATATAATATATAATATGTAATGTAATATACAATATATAATATATAATATGTAATGTAATATACAATATATAATATATAATATGTAATGTAATATACAATATATAATATATTTCAATTTGTTTTGAATTTATATATTATATATGCTAAAATATATATTATATAATATATTATATATTATTAATTATTACCATAATTTATTCTATTTAAGAATACAGAATTATTACCATAATTTTGTCATACAATAATACAGCTGTTACATGTTTTTCTTTAATCTAATAAAAAAAGAATATTTCACCCCCAAAATTAGGGGTGATGGGACCTATGTACAGATGGCAGCGCATTTCAACTATGGGAAAATTTGAGCCTGGCGACCATATGCTCGCTGGACGTGGATGGGAAGCTAGTTCCCAGCGCCTATGAAAGGATTAACCTTTCAATTTAATCCTTTTGCGATCTCGAGAAATGAGAATCGAAGATGTCCGAGTCAATTCGAGACAAGCTGTTTCGTTCGGAACGGTCGACGAACACTTTTTTCGGCTGACTGTAGATTTGGTTCTCCGCTCTCTGTTATCGTGGCATTAATTAAGAAGCGATGGATCGGGGAGCAATTAGTATACGGCGTTGCTGAGGCCCGTGTGACGACGACGCGATACGCGGGCAACGACGACGACGAGGACGATGACAGAAACGAACGACGCCGTCAAAACGATAGAAACGAAATTTCACGCAGTTGCGATACGATGCCGCGAAATTATCAATTGTGCCGGGTCGGCGCACGGTGTGACGAGCGCAGTTTCGAAATTGCCGGTTGCCTGAGTTTGATCGCGAATGGAATTGAAAGTGCGCTTTCAACGCTGGCATTACCGAATCGCTCGAAATGATCGGCTTCCGATATTTTCATCGAACGCGTAACCGACGAAACAATACAGAATGGCCGCGGTCGAAGAAAACATTGCGAGATTCGGCGCTGGTTGTACAGCGACTTTAAATGCAACCCCTGTCGAAAAATGGGAACCCCCGAATAAAAATATTCGAACCCGTTTTAAAACGATGCAACTCTTTTTTTTTAAACTGGAACAAACGATCTGAATTTGAGTTGAATGTTGAATGGACTAATTCATTGTGTAATGACTTAAATCATTTTTTTTTAATTTTAGTATTACTTGCAATGACAAAGGAAATTCTCGTTTTTTAACTTTTTTATTGGAACCTGGAGCGAAAGTTTAATATATTTAGTGCTGCGTGAGTCACGTATGGGTGACACTAATTTTGAACTAGGCTTTTGAAATTCATTTTTATGCAATGCATTTTTATTTTTATTCAAATTGAATGTTACTGGGATTTGTAGAATACAAAATGGCAGGACTAATATTTCCTTTTTTAGCTAAATTTTCACTTTCTAGTTTCGGTTCCATTGATTAAATGACTTTGATATTGCGCGATATTTTTCAGCTGATATTCGACAATTGTAGGGTTAAAAGCTACGTTTCGTAAATCTCGGTGCATATGGAATTTCGGTGCATAAGAAAATCTTCTTTTAATTCTAATTTTTATAAGATCACGTACGAAAATGTGAGTTCGCACAAGGATTCGCAGTTTACTCGTAAAGACAGCGTTTAGAAAGAATTAAATTGCTTCCATGTTAAAAAAAAAAAGAAAGATCGACCTATTTATCCAAAGCGGAAGTCCGCTTGAAAGCAATGATTCATTCGGAATATTTTGTCCACGGCTGCTCGGTTTTTCCTTAATTTTGTCCATCGCTTGTCACGCTGCGGCGACCGACTGAGCCGAAGACAACGTGCTCCCGATAGACGATAAACGATAGACGATAAACGACGAACGAAACACGAAAAGGGGTGTAATAGCAGCGTCAGCGTGCCTTTAAGTGGGGATCCCAACGCGACGAATATATACGCGCACCGGACGCCACCAACTTACAGTTCTAAGTAGAACGAGAGAAAGAAATCTCATCCGTTGGAGTTCCATTGACCCGGTGCGATTAAACGCAGTAATTAATTAATCAAATTTCGACGCTTCACGTGCTTCCGCGAACATGATCTCCTGGTTGTTCGTATTGTTCTGTTCGTTGTTCTACTGGTCCAACAATGTCTCGGCGCAACCTGGCTACCAGAGGTAATTCTTTTGTTTATCATTGCTTCGAATCACGTGTTCGCATAAACGCGAGTTCCGCGGACTAATTTGGAGAACCTGGAGAACCGAGTTGCCATTCAGATCAATTCGAAAGTTCATTGAGCTTTCAGCTGTACACTGACTTTTAGAACTTTTTTATCGTACGAAGACATTTGTTGGCTGATTGTTGAAGAATTATTTCATAGCTCGTGAAGTTCGCGAATTTCTAATCGTTTGTTCTCTTCGTTAATCGTTTGCTGTCTTCGTTAATTGATCGTTGTCTTTGTTAATTCATCGTTGTATTCGTTAATTGCTCGTCGTCTTTGTTTATTGTTTGCTGTCTTCGTTAATTGTTCGCTGTCCTCGTTAATCGTCGTCTCCGTAAATCGTTCATTATCCTCGTTAATTGTCCGTCGTCTTCGTTAATTGCTCAACAATATTTTATCATCTCGACGATCGGTTTTTTTTAAATAAAATTAAACGCGAATTATAGTGATTATCAGCATAATACTGTGATCGAATGAAACATGCACTCAATGAATCACAATTAAATATTTTTAAATAGCGTTAGGAAAAATCTACGCTTGAACAAATTTAATGGAAATAATGATGAACTGTTGCTATATCGCGAAATTCATTTTGACGATTTTGTCAAGGCTGCTATAGCTGGGCATGCGCGGGAGATCTGAACGAAAGGCAGCGATTCCAGCTTTATGTAGAATTTTTTGCGATTGTTAAATAAACATGTTCAGTTTACATAAGTACTTGTATCTGTGACATAAGTATTACGATAAGTATCAAGTCTTTCTATTGCACTTCTATGTGCAATATTTTCTAAGGCAGCCGAATGTGTTATCAATATTGTACTAATCTACTATTCTACGCACTATCTTCGAGGAAAGGAAAGCGCATCTGCTAGCTATTGCATTTTGTTCGACGTAAAAGAAGCTGCAGAAATGTTTACCGACGCGTACAATCGTGGCACCTTCGATAGTTCGATGAAAAATTACAGGAAGAATATGTTGATTCTTACGAAACAGTTTAACAATAATAATAAAAAAAAAGAATTCAGATAAACACTCAATTTAACGACAGAGCTATATTACAAGAATATAACCACATATATTAATATATAACGACAGAACTATATATTTTATAAGATTATAACTAAATAAGAATATAACTATATTATATAATATTAAGAATATATTCTCTTATTAACGATAAGAGTAATGCTAATAGATAACAGAAAAATATACAGAGTTAAATATTTCGTCATCGAAAGTCGCGGCATCTTAAATAACGATTAAAAATGATATCGCAAATTACTGAAATTTTTATTTTAGGCGTTTCAGAAGAATAAATGCATTAAATACAGTTATGCGTGTTTTGTTTTGTTATAGACTCACGAACACTGAGAAACGTGATGGAGAACCCGAAACTTTGGTAGATTTAGCGAACGCAGAAGACAACAGCATTGTTGGACAGCTGAATGCAGAAATTCCTGTTGTGATAAATGAGTAGGTTCTTTATTAGTATTTCCTTTATTAGTTATTTATTTTCACACATACACACAATGGAGATCAACCGTCCCGTGTAAGCCACTTTCCCTTTAGAATTTTTATTGACTTTTCAATATTACAAATTTTATATTTATTCGATTTTATTTAAATATCTTATATTACTAGATTCAAAGAAATCTAGTTTTAATCAGAGCAAAAGGCAGAATTTTAATGAAGAGATTGACGAAATTTATAAAATCATAGTATCCTGGTAGAAAAAAAAATGGCGACACAAAATAGTTATTCGGCGAATCGCTGGATGTATCGCTATCATACTATTAAAAAAAAGCAGATTCCGACGTATCGCGTCCACTGAAAAGAAACTTGCGAACGAAATGTTGCATCGATGTTGCATCATTGATCCTGAACGGATTAATCTAATCAACTGGCTAACAGTTTCTGCAATCTACAAATTTTGTAATAAAGAAACTAGAGAGGGAGGGAGAGAGAGAGAAAGAGAGACAGCGAGAGAGGGAGAGGGAGGAGAGAGAAATAGAGAGAGGGAAAAAGAGAGAAAGAGAGAGAGAGAGAGAAAGAGAGACAGAGAGCAATAAAGAGAGGAAAAAAGAGAGAGAGAGAAATAGAGAGGGGGAAAAAGAGAGACAGAGAGAAATAGAGAGAGGGAAAGAGAGAGAGACAGAGAGAAATAGAGAGAGGTAAAAAGAGAGAGAGAAAAGAGAGAGCGAGAGAGTAAAAAAACTAGACACCACTACCAAACCCTAAACTAATGCTACCACCAATTTATTCTAAATTTACAGCTTCAATTAATATAAATGAGCACTATATTTATTTACTCCTGAAACAAAACTAAAATCTCCGCACAGTAGACGCAATTTCCTATCAAAATAATACTGTTGCAGCCGACAGAAGCGACTATCGGATCAACGGCTGGCAGAACTGCAAACTCTGATGCGCATCCAGAAAATAAACGCGAGATTGGGAGCAGTGACAAGGGGTGGTCGCCATGTGAACGCGCTCAAGGTGTTAGTACTAATCACGATCGCTCGACGCGAATGCAAATGTTTTTTTCTCTTCGAGCAAGCTAAATATAATTTTTCTGTTGCTTTTATTTTGCGACAGGGGTCGGAGGAAACGGTCGGTTTTCGAAATGAACATGAAGAACCTGAGGAAACTCTTCAAACTGTCGGGACAGCTCGGCGGTTATAAAGGAAATCTGGCTTTTCCTGCAATCAGGTATGCATTCTAAATAATAAATATTAATTATCTGATGATCATCCGATACTATAATAAATATCATCGAGACACGTCGCAAGAATGACGAACTGAAACAGTTCACGCATAATTGAAAACATTTTCTCCATTTTCTTAGAACATTGAAAACTGCTCGAAAATTCACGAATTAACGCTCGCTAAATTTTAGATTGTTAACGCTAGAACCACCTAAGCTGTAAACGCAACTAACTAACTATACTGTTTCATAACAATGAAATATAAAATATTTATTATACTTATATTAAATATTATTAAAATTAAATATATAATAATACGTGCTTCTGCAACGAACAAGTTTGCATAACAATTTCTCTAACAGAAATAAATATTTGCATAATATCAGAAACTATAAGAGCAAAAATCAGAGACCGGTCATTTCGACTGATTTTCTAGTTCCAGCGTTAAGCTCGTGAATTAATGTATTATAGTATGTTCCACTTTTTGATTAGGGTTTCCGTAGAGTAGCCCAAGGTTTGCGTAATCGTTCGCAATCTGCACAGATAGTGGAATCTCCCAAGAGCTTCGACGGGAGATGCATGAACCGTTTCTGTTTACTTTCTCCGGCCGAGTGTTTTAGACATTATCGGCGCTATTAATTGCAGCGCGAAACGGTCGATAATAATCGAACCAGCGTTTTCAATCGATTCGCGAACGAATGGTCCCGCGCTTTTCGACACAACCGTTCTCCATTTCAAACAGGAAACATTAACATTTCTTAGCATTCGCTGACGTTCGCTTAACAGCCGCTGAAGTATTTGCAAAAGTATAACATTTTTGAGAACGAAATAACTTTTAAAAAATTGTACCTAACGACTTGAATCTTTGCAAGTTATTAGAGGGACTATGACATCGTTGAACAATGCCTGGACAAACGTTTGCAACAATTACAATTGGTTGGAACGACGAAAACAAATGTTAACGATCGCGCTTGTCTTTTAACTTTGTTTTATGCGAACGTGGAACGAAAATTTGACAAATGCGCGTCGCTCGCGAACGCATCCGAATAATTGACCGAGTGAGACGGTACGTTAACCCCTTGACGCACCATTTTCCTCGCAGTCACCGCGATCAGAAATTTTTCGATCGCAATTAATTTCGCAGAGGGGAAAGAAGATCGATGCTTGTCGCGTGCCTAAATTCGCTCGAATGCCTTAAACATCGAATTGTATTATTTTATCATATTGTTTATTATTATTTCATTCCAATTTTAAAGGACAGAATTATTGCTAGGAATCTTCGCGACGAGTCAGTCGTACTTCGTCGAAGTACGGCAATTAATAGAACGTCAAAGACGTCAGACCGATTTCCCATAACCGCAAGAAATAGTAAAAATGAATTGCAGATGCGAAAAATCGACTTTCGATCACGTGGCGCACCGACAATGACGCACTAAGAGATCGAAGAACGGAAATCTTCGATTGGAAACCGCTGACACAAGCTTGATCGCCTCGATCGTCAAAAAATCACGGCGCCACGAGAGCGATCTATTCCTCCCTCCCCCCCACTTCTCGCCGTCCCTCCTTCCAAGTCTCTTTCTTTGCGCTATTTTTCCTGGACGATTTTTTTCTCTGCGTCCATAAACGATAACGTGGTGCTCGTGGCGGAAAAAAGCGTGGGATTCGCGGCCTAGCACACGCGACAGAGAACCGCGGGCGTGACGTAACGCTGCCATAACGCTGCTTCGTTCAGATAAAATCCTTGTCGGGCCGGTGCCCGCTGCGAACCCGCCGCGGTCTTATCTGCTCTTGGTCGGCCGTGTCGCAATTATTTCTGATCCGCATCGGAAATAATTCGACGATGGCCGCGCGAATTTAAGCGACGGGGGAATTCCGACCACCGATACAAGTCGATTTGGACGACGGTAATACGGTAAATTCTCCCAGAAATGGTCCGAGGTCGGAATTGGAACCGGCAGATCTCAGAATACCGAGTCGCGATTTTTCTTGTTTTTTATTTCCAATTTTTTGACGCGATTGGGAGGCGATTTGGAGGACGCGTAACGCGATTCGGACGTGAGACGATTAGAAGGCAATTCGAAGGAGATTTGAAGGCAATTCGAAGACAATTCGGAGATTCGAAGACAATTCAGAGGCAATTCGAAGACAATTTGGAGATTCGAAGGCAATTCGGAGGCAATTCGAAGGCAATTCGGAAATTCGAAGGCAATTCGGAGGCAATTCGAAGGCAATTCGGAGATTCGGAGGCAATTCGAAGGCAATTCGGAAATTCGAAGGCAATTCGGAGGCAATTCGAAGGCAATTCGGAGATTCGGAGGCAATTCGAATGCCAAACAAACCATTTTGTGTTGTCTCCGTCGAACCTTATCATCGGCGTGTCAATAAATCGCACAGGCGTAGGACAAACCACAGGGAAATTCACAGCAACCTGAAATTTGGCATTTCCGAGAAAAATTATTGCATCAACCCCGTAAATTCTCACGGAATCCGAGCAATTCGATCGAGACCGAGGCGCAGGACATTTCATATATGATATTTTAACGCGTTGTCTGCCAACCATAAGTTACAATAAATTGTCCCTAATTAACGCTCAGATTTTGCGCAAAAATGGACAATTCGGGAGGAGGAGATGCGATTAAATAAAATAAATACGATTGTTGACAACCGATGGCTATAAAAACGAGCCACAAGGCTCGGATAATCGTATCTCCTCTTCCCAAATTGTCCATTTTTGTGCGCAATCCGAGCGCGAATTAAAGAGAATTCACTGCATCTGTTTGTTGTTTTAATAGCGCGCAACAGTGCGCGCCTCGAGCAATAATCAGAGAAATGTTTAACAGCAATACAAATAACGTTTCACAGTATGTTGATACTTCTGTAATCTTAGTGTTACATTGTAGGGGTTATAATTAAAACGATATAGGCAATAAATCAGCCGGCCGGAGATATCTACCGTTAATAAAATGAGTAAATCGGCAATGGTCTACTGCTATTTTTGGAAATCGGCGCGACGTTCTACCAACATCGTCGCACATGTATATCTTTAAATATGTTATCGCTGAAAAGTATATACACTGCTTGCTTACTCGCATCGGGATGTTACTTAACGCTAGATTCACGGAGCCCGTCAAAATGACGGGTCACCAATTTTTTAATTCACGATCATTCATATCGTAAAGATACGTTTACGAGTTATTTATTTTCAATTTATACGTTACTCATGGCAAATGTTACAATAACACTTTGTTAGAAATCAGAATAAATGTCTTATTGTTGCTTTTATAAACTAACATAATAACAGCTGTTTTTTGTGCTTCGTAAGTCCAGTGTTAGCAGATCGACTGCTCAGTTTATTCGGAAGAAATCATCCGTTCGCGACGCCAATGTTCCTTTCTTCCAAATAAAATATAATAATAAGTAATAATAATACTACTAATACTACTTAACTAATAACTAATAATAATAAATAGAGAACGACGATAGAGGTGAAAAATGACGAACAAATCCCTTTTTTTTATTAGTAACGAGCCATTAACGATAACTATAAAAACGAGCCGAAAGGTTCGAATAATCGTATCTATTCTTCTCAAATTGTTTATTTTTATGCACAATTTAACCGCGAAATAAGGAGAATTTACTATAATACGTCAGGGATGCACGGAAAGTTACCCCTAATCGGAACGTTAGTCAAAATTATAGACAACATCCGTCTCCGTGACCTGATTGTTTCTCTCGGTGTTATTATTCGGTCATGTTTGTATGCATTTTAAAATAGATTACGCGACTACTCCGGTTTTATCTATGCTTGTGCTTGGCTGTTTTCTGTTTCTGTTTACTTATCGTTCATTCTTTCAGTCTCTTAGTAAATCACCAATTTGATTTCGATAATTTTACGTTGTTATTAATATATTAGAACTGTCGAGCCCGAAACACGATTAATTGTTCCATAACAATGGCAAGGTTGGATTTATTTAAATTTCGCACGATTTTCGTAGCAATGTACGGTCGAATGAGAAAAATCGTGTAAAAATGTCTCGTAGAAACAGTGCTATAATGTCAGAGAATAATTAAATTTTAATCATTAAAAATTAAATTTGTAAAGATTCCATGTTGGTCCGATTTATCGAGTCAACTTAGATCGATTAGTTCTTAATATAATTATAACAATAAAGTAATGATAATAAAATATAATATATTTGCGTTAATTCTTTAGAAAATCGACGATATTGGAAATAACCGAATGTATTTTCTCTTTGCAGTTGAAGCCTCGAAGCGATACAGAATGTGACGCGAATGTGACTTTGCCGAATGCGGTACGCTGAATTAAAAAAAGATGACCCGCGGGCAGAAAGAAAGAAATCCTGTTCGGTGTACCGATCTGTCCTCGAGGAACTATCGAATAATTACGAATTAGAGTGCACACCATTGAGAATCAGTATCACAACCGTCCCTCGTGTATCGTATATAATCGCGCTACCTATTTATTTCCTGTAAATGAGAAACTTCTTCGAATCGTCGTTGTAAGATATTTATTTATTATTTTTCTACATATTGAAATAAATTATACGAGTATTTTATTTATTACACTGTAACCGTGTCTCCAGTTATTAAATATTTTAATCTGGAATAAGTTTATTTATTATTTATTACTAGAATAAGTTTACTTATTTATAAGCTTATTTAATAAGTTTATTTTTAAAGTATAAGTGCAGTAAATTTTCTCCAATTGTCCTTCAGCATGTAAACAGAAATGGACAATTTGGGAAGAGGAGGATTATTCGAGCCTTGTGACTCGTTTTTTATAGTCACCGATCGTCAGCAACTATAAAAATGAGCTGCTCGAATATTGTCTATATGTCTTCTATTCCCACATTGTCCATTTCTGCTTAAAAGCTGAAGGACAATTGGGGAGAATTTACTTTTATTATGTATTTAATGTTATTTAATAATATAATAATAATATCATTTAATATAATTTAATATACATTAATATAAATATTATTTAATAACATAACAATAGTATTTAATAATATTGAATAATTTTAATATTACTTCACATATTTAAATATGCTATATATATTTTTATTATATAATTTACTCGAGAAATAATTTCGTTAAATCGCAGACACACATTTCATAGTTTGGGAAGGATCCGGTTGCGGATATAAAACAGTCATTTGAATTTATGGCTTCCGAATCATAAAGCAACATGCCGCAATACGAACGAGGTATACGATATACCCGATCCATGCTAAAAAGCTTAAAAATTACAGCTTAAGTTAGCTGTGATTCTAACGTCCATCAGCAGATGGTGCTGATAACAAGTTCCAGGTATTTCACATGCCTGGCATCTTGGTAATCAAGCTGTAACTGTCTGCTGATAATTTTCTACAACAGTTTGGCGGTTTTGCCGCCGCATTAATTGGCGCTATTCGAATACACGAAAGCAGAAAATTCTTGCCGGATTATCCATTGCCTCTTATGGGAAAAGCGGAACGTATCTTCTGTTTCCGATATTTGCAATAATAAACAAACTTTATTTTCACGAGTTGCAAATGCGGGAGGAAGAGTCTCCCGAATATTTCCGTAATATCGACATATTTTTCAGGCGATATATATTTTTCTGATAAAAGAGATTCGAATCGACAATAATTTATGCTCGGAACCGATTCTGAGCACCATGTAATTAAATCTGTTGAATAATTGGAACTCTATTGTTACTCTTAGCAGCATTGTCGCTGATAAACTACTATAATAATAAGATTGAACAACTGGTTCCGTGGTGTAGCGGTTATCACGTCTGCTTTACACGCAGAAGGTCGCCAGTTCGATCCCGGCCGGAACCATGGTTCTTTTTTTTTATTTCTTTTTTGTTTTAAATTATAATAATTTCATAGTCTTTTCGAACTTATAGTCTTAAATAGTTACAGCAGAGAAATTCATTGTATTTCCGTTGGTTTAAAAGTTAGGGGTGCTGGCAACTGAATTTAAGTGGATGCTTAAAATTAGCACTGCATATTTAAGATTTAAATTTTAAGTCATAAAAAAGGAGTCATATTTCTGCATAGAAATAAATAATATAATTTTATTTCTGCATAGAAATAAATGATATAATTTTATGTCTGCATAGAAATAAATAATCTAACTTCATTTCTACATAGAAATAAATAATACAATTTTATTTCTAAGTAGAAATAAAATTAAATAAATTAAATAACGTGCTCGAATACCATCCATGCTTATAGTAGAAAGGGTTAACAATCGCATAAATATACAAAGACGTTCCCCCCGCGTTTGCATTAACGGTAAACATCGCTTACCACCGATTCGTTCTAGCAAACGATTAATCGATTACGATCGCTGCGATCGCTTTTCTCGATCGATTAAAAAATTAATCACGAAATGATCGCTCGCCGCCCAATTCCGGCTTCCAGCGAGGAAACGAGGCGCTACGCGTTCGCCGAAGCGGACGATAAATAACAAAGCGAGCCGGACGAACGGAGTTGAAAGAAACTGACGAACCGCGATGGCAGGAAGTCGAAATTGATATTCGGTTCGCGCGTGCACATTTGTCTTGTCGCGCCTCCGGGCCCGTCGAGCGGCGCGGTGCGGCGCTGCCCGGCCCGACCCGGCTCGGCCCGGTCCGGCCCGGTGCAACGAACGCGTCGAAACGAAACGCTCTCCCGGTTCTTCATTCACCGTTTCCGCGGCGGTCATCTGGCGGCTCACCTGCGTCTCGACGAGGCAACGGCCAGCAGCAGCGGCCAGCCGCTTCGTTTCTTTGGCGCGGCGTAACGAGAGCAAGTCCGGTTTTTAGTCGGGCGTCGGCCATTCAGCGTGCCTTTTTCAGCCGGTATTTTATATCGCGACGACAAGATGGAGAGAGCACGTCCAGAGGCATCGATGCCTCTTTGAACGGCCGCTTTTCCGTTCTTCTTCTTCTTCCTCTTCTTTTTTCCCTTATTTTCTCTTTTTTTTTTCTTTTTGGCTTTCGTCGTTGCCTTTCGTACCCGGCCGATCTCGTTGCTCGTTTCTAACCGCGAGCGAACGACCGGCCGGCAGCGGCGCCGCCGATTTTATCGGACGGTTTAACGAGATACGCGAAATCGGCGGTCATCGGAGCATTCAACCGGCTGCGACCGATCCAGATCGTTGATAACGGGGAAACGAACGAATTTCGCCGTTTATACTACGCGAACCCGGAAGACGAGCGGAGTTTCGAGATCGTTTCGGCGTAACTTCGATTTCGAAGGAGCGGAACGCGTCGCGGGCCTCTTCGTTGAACTTTGCGGCGAATCGACGGTGTTGGAAGTATTGATTTTTTGTACGAATCCGATTAAAAGTTGACTATGAAAATTATTGATAGCAGAAATTTATGTGATTTTATCTTGAAAGGTTTTCAAGATTAACTGTCGAATTTCAACAAGCGGCAAATTTAAATTTCAGCAAATAGTTTTTCATTTGATAAATAAGTAATGCGTTAAGTAACCTGATACGATTTCATCGTGAAGGCATTGTATTTGTATTTTACCGAGTCGAATCGTGCCAGTTGACGCAGGCATCTCATGAAGAGAAAAAATATTTTATATCTTCCTTAATTAAATGAAAGTTCCAATTGAAAGTTTAAATAGTGAAAAGTATTGAAGTTATTCCTATAATTAAATATAATTCAATATCAATGCTTCTATCAGCAGGTGTCATTGAAGTTTAATGATAATTAATAGTATTAAGGGTCACCAATCAACCCTTCGCATCCGAAGAATTTTCTCGGATCGCCTACTAGCTGACCAGTCATTCCAATTATTCCCATAATTAAATATAATTCAATATTAATGCTTCTATCGATAGGTGTCATTAAAGCTTAATGATAATTAATAATATTAAGGGTCACTAATCAACCCTTCGCATCCGAAGAATTTTTTCAAATCGCCTACTAGCTGACCAGACATGAAATTAACGTAAAAATGATGCTACATGAAACAGCGAAGTTCGCGAAAAATGGCATGATTCCATCATCGGCAATTTCGTTCGCAGATCGATGGCGATTTATCGGCGTCGATCCCTCGCGGTCGTCGCGTCGCGGCGAGAGAGCAAGTGTTTCCGACAGGAAAATGGAGGCACGCGTCCCGACTCGCTCGCAACGAGTCGACACGACGAGGAAGAAAAAATCGGGTCGAGTGCCATGAGAATACTTTACCGCGCCTTCGCAGACCGAGTGTCCTTGAACAACCCCAATCTTTTTACGAGTTTCACTCTTTGATTTTGCGCGGCTTTCGCTCCGCGCTTTTCTTTGTACGAATGAAAAGAATCCTCCGGCCTCCGCTGAAACGTTATATTTCGCGTGTACTTTTTGATACGCCGGGGAACATTTTGATAATTCCATTGGCGTGGAACGCGAGCCCTTAGAAGAGCCGTCTTTGTACGTCCGAGTTAATTATCACGTTTGGAAGGTTTACGCTGTGATATGTGTCAGTATGTCTGAATTTATCTCGTTATCGCGGCTCTCGCATGGCTTATTGTGATTTTGTTACGCGTGCATACTTCGTTTCAGGGTAGATAAGCGTCGCGAATAACCTCTGTCTGCTTGGGGAACGGCAATAGCGCGGTTACTTTTTCGTTTCGTATTTCTGTTGGCAGTCTTTCCTTGCTCTGCATTATATTTATCTATATAGAAAAAATCGAATATACATATATTATTTAATTTTGATAAAAGTAACCTTGGAAAAAAATGTTTCTGCAATGCGATGGTTTTTTCAAATCGTCTAAATGGTATACAAAATATTTTTTGTACCCCCATAATTAGAGGAGATACTTAGGTGGCCTTATTTAGGTGGACCACCCTGTATATTATATTAATTATATTTATATTATATTATATTATATTTATATTATATAATATTATATTATATTATATTATATTATATTATATTATATTATATTATATTATATTATATGGATTACGTTTTATATAGTTTATATATTACATGCATTATATATTATATATACTATATGGACTACGTATTATATATATTATATATATCACATGATATTATAATAACTGTACACATATATGTATCGTATAATATTCGCTTTTCATTCCACTCGCGCGACAGCTACAAAAAAATCTCTTTTTTCTCGTTTCTCCTTCTGAACCTTGCTGTTTTACCCGTACGCACGAATAAATAAATCATCGACCATTAATATTAATCAGAAAAGAGGGCGACAGCTATTAAATAAATCCATCGAAACGCGCCATAACGTGCAAAAATGTGACATCTCAAGACACACACCCTGCACTTCAGGTGCTCGTTCGTTGCCACGAAACACCTGTCGCCGAGGCGTTCGAGATTCTTGCGTCTTCGCTTTATTTTCCAGTCTCGCCGGGATCCGATTTGGCGAGCATCGATCTGCGACATTAAATCGAATCGTTATTGCGGGCACAGCTTTAGGTTTCGACATAGCCGAATTGTCGCGAACACACTTTAAACAGCGGCCGATCTAGATTCTAGAGGACGCCCCGCAGGTGTGCACGCACCGCCGTTCGCTGGCAACATTAACAACCGTACGACCGGTTTCTCCGGAGATTTCACGG